CACTTCGAGTCTGTGGTACTGACTACCTACTTTCTGGCTTCTCTGTTTTGTCTCAAAAGCCAACTTGCGTCAATGTTGGTCTCTTATCCTCTCACTGACCAAAATCCCAGCATATTCACACCAGACCAGCTAGCAAGACCTCTAATCAAAGGTTGGGTCATTGACTGTGTAAGGGATGGTGGGGAAGAAGAAAAGGGCGTTTGTATAAATACAGAACCTGTTTAGAAAGAGGAAGCAATTAGGATTAAGCGATCATTTTCCTCGACAGAAACATATATTAGAGCAGTAAAGTTCTCATAGATCTCCTTTTATTAACTCTTGTGAATGATCTAAAGGAAGGTGTACAAAATGACATGGTAAACTATAGGAGGTACTAAAACGGCAAAGAATAAATAGCAGTAGGTAATCTCACAAAGCTGAAGGAATGGGCATAAAACTGCAAAGGCTTGAGGTGAGGCCATTGCAGTGGGAGGCAGTGTGGGCAGGCATGTGAGGCACCAGTAAACCCTGTGATGGGAGGGAACCTTATGATGGGAGGGAACCTTGGCAGAGGGTCAGAACTGGGGAGGTCTAGGAAGGGGTAGATGAAATTCAGGAGATCTGGGAGTCGGGTAAACATGGAGATCTGGCCAGGCATACCTTGGCACCAGATTGTTCTGGCAGCAAGCAGTGGGCCCTTGATCAGAGCCTCAGCGACAGGAACTACTCCCAGGAGCACTGGTCAGAATAAAGCAGGTCCTGGGCATTCCTTTTTTGATCCAAATAAGACCTGCACATGATAAAAAATGAAATAGTACAGAGATGCTTGTGATATAAAGCAATAGTCTCCCACTCCACCTGTTACCACTCCAAATACCACTCCATAGGAACAACCACTTTTCATCATTTTTAGTACTTTGGGAGCTAACTGTATATTATGAAGTTGTATGCCTATGCCTATAACTTGATTAACCAAAATCAGACATAATCTATTGACTCCATGCTAGGAAATAGGAGAGTTTAGCTTACTTGCATGTTCCTCCACCCGCTTCCCAATATTGATAGGTATGTTTTAATTTTTAGTTCTTTTTGAGTTACCTTTGTAACTTGAAATAATATACTTAAATCTCTGTTATTTTATCAACTCTACATCTAGGCTACATCTGTTTGCTCATTGTTGGTGTGGGAAATTGAGATTCTGTGTTATGATTTAAGATTAACATATTAGAGTCATATTTATTTTATGTGTAAAATATTTTTACAAGAAATGCTTTCATTATCTCAAGGGAATCCCTAATTTTAAGGAAATCTGTATAATCCTTTTATTTTTATTTTAGAGCAATATTAGGAAAGCCATAACAAGTTGATTATTAGCAGGTGAGCGGACAAAATCCCATGAAAACTATAGTTTACAACTTTAAGTGAACAAACACAGTTTCACACACACACAAAGCTATTAAAAATTATTTTTTGTCTTAAGGTTACAAGTCAACAGTCCTTTAACTTCAAAGACAAATTGCCCAATATTCTTGGAAGTCTCTTAGCAAACACTTAGAAATTCCCCTTCGTGTTGACAAAATATAGACTAAGTATAGAGTTAACTTGAAATGTATTTCAACTGTATATAAATATTTTCTAGTTCTTTTCTTTTTTACCTAATAAATCTAATGGTTAGCTCTCCTTTCAAGTTTTCTTATTAAACTAATTCAAGCTTGTAACCTACAAGCCAGTTCTGAGTCAAGATCTTGGGACTTACATTTTGTTTTCCACACTATTATGACAAAAATATTAGTGTTTTTCCTCTTCCCTCTACTTCTCCTCCCTCTTTTCATTTCCTAATATCAGTTAGCTATAACTTTACTTTTACTTCTTCTTTCTTGTCGTCAAAGTATGCAGTCAACATATCCTTAAAAATCATTCAGTTTGTTAATTGTCGTGTCGATCCCAGTTCCTATCCAGAGGCATCCATCTTGGGGCCTCTAACCTTCAGCTTCAATCCCCGCTGGCTTCTCTGCTGTACAACTGTTATTATGGGACTTTATTCCATTCCTGAGTTATTACCACTATTTTCTGAATCTCATGTTTTCCTCCTTTATGGTTTACATCCTCATTTTGCTGGCGTATATGCTTTAGTATCTTCCTCAGAACCGGTATGTGGGAGGTAAATTTTCTGAGCTCTTGTTTGCTTAACTTTAGTTTCACTTAATTGATAATCTGGCTAAAATTATAGTTTTAAAATAACCTTTCTTCAGAATTTTAAAATCAGTGCTCCGTTGTCTTCTAGCATTCGGTCTTGTTGATGAGAAGTCTGATGCCGATGTAATATTTGTTCCTTTATTAAGTGTTCAGTTTTTTACCTTGGGAAATATTTAGGATTTCTCCTGAAATTACACAATGATGCTTTTAGGTATAGAGAGTTTTTTGTCGTGTTGTTCTTTGTGCTATTTTATGTGATATTTCAACCTGAAGACTTGTGTCTTCTTCGGTTTGGAAACATTTATTTCTATTATTTACTAGTTATTTTCTCGTATTTTCTTTATTCTCTCTTTCTGGATTTCCTACTGTTGGATGTCGTAACTCCCAGATTCTTCCTCCATTCTATTCTTTGCTCAAATTTTCTAGCCCTTTATCTTTCTGTTCTAAATTCTTGGATATTTATTTAAAGTACTTTATCTTTTAGATCTTTACTGAATTTTTAATTTTAATGATTATGTTTTTAATTTCCAAAAGTTCTTTCTTGTTCTTGGATTGTTTTTTGTTTTTCATGGCATCTTTCTTTATAGATAAAATATTCTTCTTGGATGTATCTGGAACTACTAATTAGTGTTTCCTTCAAAATTCTCTTCTGTGTCCTGATTTATATGTTTCTTTCAGCCCAGGTTGTTCTACTTTTATCATGCATGTATTTGTGTGTTTGTCACTGGTTTTCATCATACACCTGGCAATCTTTGGTTGCTGACGTGGATTCCCTGTATGTGTGTCTATTTTCCTGATGAGGCTCTCCCTTTGTGAGAATGGCTGGTTTTGAGGAGGACTTCATTTGGAGTGCAAGCATCCACGCTAGCAGCCTGGTTTTCCTCAGTCAGTTTATTCAGATCCTTTAGAAAAACATTCCGAGGCTTTCTTTTCCCTCCCTTTCGTTCTGGATCATTGTCTGCATTTTCTGCGTTCTGGACATTTGTGGAAATCTTTCATCTACCAAAGCCTCCCTCCCCTCAATCCTCTTTGCTTATAGGCATGTATCCATTTTCCCTTTTACTACTCTTTTAATAGGATCTTGGGAAGGCGGGAAACAAGAAGAAAATGTGCCTGACATGCCATTTTAGACAAAAAGCCCTTTAAAAATAAAAATTATTTTTCACCCATTTCAAAATGATTGCTAAAGAAAATTGAGAAATTATAGATAAGTAGTAAAATGAAAAAAGATGTTTTTTCATTACTCAGAAATAACATCGTCAACATCTTAAAACACGTTCTAGTTCCTTTTTCCTTTTCTTATGCATCTATTTTTTTTTTTAACAACAATGGGATCGTACTGTATATTCTGTTTTCTAATATGCCTCTGAAAATGAAACAATAGCTTTTAAATATCTTTCTATGTCACAACAGATCCTTGACAATTTTGGAGATCTGGTATTTATTGAAAACTATATCACTACTTATTTAGCCAATCTGCTATTTTTAGACATTAGGTTGTTTCTAATTTTCACTATTATAAACAAACATTTATAAACACTTTTGGCTAAATCTTTACTCATATCCTCGACTATTTACTTAGAATAAAATCCTGATAATGTAATTGCTGGATCAAAGTGTATGCAGGTCCCAGTCTTGGTCCACCATTCAGGATACTCTTTGAAACAGCCCCACTTTGACTTTCTGGCACCAAACTTTCATTTCTCTCCACTTCCTTAAGCATTATAGCAGAGGCATTAAGAGCATACTTTTCAGAGTCAGACAGACCAGGGTCGAATTATAGCTTTTGCCACTTACTAAATGCGTGACCTTAGGCTATGTCAATTAACCTCTTTGAGTACTAGTTTCCTTTTCTATAAAAAGGGGGAAGTAATTTTATTTTTCTGATGTGGTGGTTATGAGAATTAAACAAGATTAAAACACACACACACACACACACATATAAAGCCCTTGGCACAGGCCCTGTCAGGTTGAAAGTGTTTGTAAATCCATAATGATGGGGTCAGACCCATTCCTTCCCTAAGCCTAAACAAGTCTTCTTTCAAGGCCATGTTTGAGAGATGTACCGACCCTCTGTGAGCTTCCCTGACCAGGGCTGGTAGAGCTCTTGTGGGCTGGGCCCGCATTTGATGTGCAGAACACATCGCTTATCACTTTCCTCTGTGGGTGAATGGAGAGAAGTGACATCCCCTCCGCACCGTCCTGCACCATGCTGTCTCTCCACATCATCACTAGTTACTTTTCATGAGTGTTCTTGGGGAATAGCAGTAATGACACGATTCAGTGCTGGTAGCATCAGGATTATTCTTTGAAATTTGTTCGGGGCCCTTTGGTAGCACAGTAGCTTTGAGTGTGGTCTCTGGCTCTGACAATTGGGTGGGACCTGACCCAGGATCCCTGAACCCCAGTGTAGTCAGTGGGCAGCAGAGGCAATGAACTCTGTCTGCAGAGCAGATGGCAGCAGGTGGGTTGCTGAGGCTGAGGCTCTCAAGGGTGTTGACCGGTAGAAGGCAGAGTTCAGTATGCAGCCTCGGGACCTTTGTGCAGCCTGCCAGATGCCTCCGCCGCCCTCATTACTTTGCACTGGGCCATAAGATGCTTTTGTAGCCAGTAGGGCTTTCTTCCAGAGCATCACCCAACCCACAAAGGCCCCTTTCACACCCACAGATGCCTCCCCAGTTGTCAGGGGAGATTGAGAAGGCTTGTTTGCAGAGCTGCAGATGGGAGGGCTTGCTCTGGGATAGCTTCCAGGAGGGGACCCCGAGGAGGGGAAGGTAATTTGTGGAATACCCTTCTCACCTCTCTCCCGTCTGGATGTCTTTCAGGAGTCATGGCCGGCTTCAACATGGGGAGTGACCTCAGGGAGCCCGCTGCCAGCATCCCCCTGGGCTCCCTAGCAGCTGTTGGCATCTCGTAAGTTGCCCTTAGTGGCAATCAGCTGGAGAGAAGGAGAGAAAACTCCAGGCAAAAGAGGGGATTGCCCCCTTTGTTCTGAGAGTGCCCAGACTGTGACCAATCTATTTTATATTCCAATCCTCCTTTTAACACTCAGCGGGCTGGAAAATTCAAGTCTGGTGGGTTCAGACGATTGCCCTTTCATACCCCTTGCCTGGGGATGCTGGGAGAGGTGTTACTAACACAGATCGAATCCTTTCTTTCCAGTCTTCTCAGCCTCCTGCCCCTCCCTCTCCTCATCCCCATTTTGAACTTGGGAATTTTTTAACCATTGTGTTTCTAGGATCTTTGGAGAGGGCATAAAGATGAAGGGCTTTGCAATCAGACAGATTAGAATTTTTATTTCAGCTCTGCCACTAATTGGCTGCATGACTTTGGGCCATTAACTTAGCTCCCTGAGCCTCCTTTCTCTTTTCTGTAAAATGGGACAATGAGAATATGTGGGCCCTGCAGATTGTGGAAGAGATACTGTGTGTAAAGGCACACAATAGGAACTCAGAGACTGGTCCTTTTCCCATAGCTAGCTTCTCTGTACCACCCCAAGGCTGTTGGGCTTCCTGGGTTTTAGGTCACACTGTGCCACTCACACGAGCAGTCTGGGTGGCCTTAGATTTGTTTCTGACTTTCTAGAATCTTCTGTTTTTCTTTCTGTACCAAGAGAAAAAGTTTCTCTGCCTTCTTTGGGTGGGCGTGAAAGGCAATGAAATTGCCAACATGACAATGACTTGAGAAGTTAAAAATGCCTGCATATTTTAACCGTGATGCTTAAAATATATTAATATATGTATTTCACAAATGCTTACTGTCATGGCACTGTTGCTTCTAGCCAGGCACCTAGCGCCAGTCTGTTTTGTGCTAAATAAGGACTTGAGAACAAAATGAAGGGAGAGTTGGGAAGGAAAGAAAAGAAAGAACACTGTTTTGTTTTTGGTCATAGCTAGGAGGTCCCTTTGGCCCATCCTCTCGCTGCCCATATGGGAGTGAGGCCACAGGGATCCCAGGACTTGTTCAAGGTCACAGGGCATCTGGGGGTAGAGCCAGGTCACTGTGGGCCTTTACACACTTGGCTTGACTCTCTATCATCTGGGAGCCAAGGAACAGCAGGACTTAGAGGCCTAAATGATCATCTACTTGTTCTTCCTGCGGAATAAAGGGGCGGGGGCTGCTGGTCAGCCTTGGCCTGAATTCTGACAACCTAGATGCCAACTGGTCCTTCCCCTCCCCTACCTCCACGACCCTGTGTGTGCGTGTGCGTGTGCGTGTGTGTGTGTGTGTGTGTGTGTGTGTGTGTGTGTTTTACTCTATAAAAGAGACAAAATAATGAAACTTTCTTTTTAATAAAATATATGCTAAGGAGAAATAGTACCGAAAGTACGCTCCCAGATGAACTAGAAAGCCTTCATAACCCATCTTTCTCTTTCCTTTGAGACAGGTCCCCATGGGAACCAGAAGGAGGAGGGGAAGAGGGTTGGGATGGAGTTGGCTGAGGTGTGGGACCAGCTCTGCTCTGCTCTTGGGTATTTCGTAGGTGGTTTCTGTACATCGTCTTTGTCTTCCTGCTTGGTACCATCTGCACCCGTGAGGCCCTTCGCTATGACTTCCTGATAGCTGAAAAGGTGGGTGACCAAAGGAATTCATGTGCTGAATCATTTCTTTGTTCCCATAAACAAATGGCTGCCTGTCCCTGGCAGTCCTGCCTGGGAATCCATTTAGTCTTAGGCCCAGGATGGAAGGATGGGGGTAAAAACACAGAAGTACAGGTTCTTCCTATAAATCCCTAGAAAAAGGTAATAATACATGCAAGCGCGTGCACTAGGTGACTAAATAGTGGACAAAAAATATCAGGACAAAAACAGAATCTGTTCACCTAAAATCCCCAGCTCAACCAGCCCCTTATTTTTGCCAATAGCTTCAGCTTCCACGATGAGCAGAATGTGCTGCTCACAGAAGCGGGTAAGAAGGAAGAGACTGATGGGTGGCAAGTGGAGGGAGACGGAGGAAGCCCAGTGCCAGGCTGAGAGCCTGGACGAGGCCGGATAGGAGGCTCTCTTGCACTCTGAGAACCCAGACCCCTCGGGCTCTCCACATGGGGTGGGCCTCATGGATTTGGCCGTGATATCGTTGTTTCTAGAGCTGTAGAAACCTGCCCTGACAGGATGAGCAAATTCCTCATACTCCATAACCACCCCTTAGCAGGCAAGAGGTCATGCGATGGTCAAGGACACTTCGTTTTGTATCTTTGGAACCCAGGAGAATAAGATTTCCAGTCTGGAAATCCCCCCAAACTTCTACCTTCCCTTACGTTCCTGGAGGAAAAGTGGACACTGAAATTCCGTCATTTATGAGAGCAATGTAGTAGACTAGGGAGGCTTTCTGACTCAGTTAACTCCTAAGTATCACTGCTCATATTTGGGGAGGAAGTACCCTTTTCTTTTGATGTGAGGCTTTGCAAAGCGGCCTTGCTTATCTTTGTGGTTGGGGCAGGCACTGCTTGGGGCAGCCTGGGGCAGGAAACTCTTGCTTCTTAGAGCTACATTTGGGCTTGGTTTGTATATTAGCACAGGTTTCTTTTTAAGGCATGTGGACGCTGATGTAAAGGTGATATTTGCTTTCAGGGGTCTTGACCTCACTATGAAGGCAGGTTTTGAAAAGGGGAGGAGTTCAGGTATTAACACCTACCTTCCAGGGCCCAAGGTCTTAGACCCTAGCGAGCAAGATTTGCTGTTAGGGAAGGAATGTATGGCCCTCATTTACGCCTAAGTGCAGGCTTTCATCTTGATTCATCTCCCAGGGGCCTTTTCTCTAATTGTGGAATGAAAAGCTTGACTGCATTAGAAGAATTAAAGGCCTCACGGAGCAGCAGACTCTTTGCTGCTGCTGCTGCCCGATGCTGCCTGCCGCTTGCCAGTGGCTAGCTAGCTGCCTCCTTCTAAGGCTGGTTCCTTTCTAGTGGATTCTCACACAGAGGTCTTTCAACTGTCAAAGACTCTGATCTGGATGGAACGAGAGGCACATTATCCTCTGGGCTGGGGCTCCTCTCTCCCCTCCTTCCTTTGCTTTGCAGGGAAGCTAAGAATGGGTATGTGGGAGGGCAGGCAGCCTATAGCCAAGGGAAGCCAGGACAGCAAGAGAATAAAAACATCTTTATGGACAGCATGGGAGAGCCTTTGCGGGTGGAAATTCCACCACTAATAGTAGATACATCCACGGGGGAAGCTTATTGGGAATGCTACCTGTCCCAGACAGTGAAACAAGTAGGCAAGTACTTAGCTGGTTGGGGGTATGTGATAAACGATGCCTGGCAATAGTATGTGGGCATGTCATTATGCACATACCAGGATGAGAGATAAAGAGTTTGTTTTTGGAAAAGATGAGAGACTGTTTTCTTGACTGGGAGTTGTAAAGCCTATAAAGAAAGAAAAGATATTGTTCTTGGTTCCCAGTAGCAAATAGGGCTGGCTCAGCAAGTGATCAACCAGGGCAATGCACTAGGGTGCTGCCCCCCATAATCCCTTCAAAAATGGGGACCATGAAGATTTCCCGTCTCTAATGCCTTGAACCTTGGCTTTTCTCTTTTCTTGCTCTCTGGTGTCCTTCCTTGGGATTGACTTGGCTGCACTAGCAGGTCCTCTAAGTTGGGCCAAACAGTTTTACTAACAGTACCCGGAGAATGGAAGGGAGCAATGGATAGAGGTTGGAAGGTACAAATGCACAGTCTTATGTGCTCACTTGACACAACCTACCACCCTGAGGTGGTTTTAACAAACTGTTCATCTTGGCTTCACGTCTTAGCTATTGCCTCAGTTCTGAGCCCGCCCATGTCTGAACTTTCCTGAGCTCTGAGGAAGCAAGTCCTCTTCAGTCTGGTCTGTGTGCCCAGAGGGTCTCACTTTTGGGCACAGTCCAGGCCCAGCCTCCAGCATACTCCCCTTGGCGCTGGTTCTCACGAAGCTCCTCCTCGTTTCCTGAGCTCTGAGGAAGCAAGTCCTCTTCAGTCCGGTCTGTGTGTCCAGAGGGTCTCACTTTTGGGCACAGACCAGGCCCAGCCTCCAGCTCATTGGGTTCACTGTTAATAACATTTTCCCACATTTATTGCTCTCTCTCCCGCTGTCTCTGTCTCTGTCTCTCTCTGTCTCTCTCTCTCTCTCTCTCATGATCCTGCCAGAATGATTACCTTCAGTGACTGCAGGCTGCACTGGGTTCCTTTCCATTGACATGCAGCTGGTCAGTTCACCTGTTTCTTTCTGGGTTTTCTGCAGCTTCTCTGATGTATTTCTAATTATTTGGCTTCCCAGCCCACAGTTTCTCTAAGAATTTTCTCTTTCGCTTTATGTCCTTACCTCACAGGAACTTTTTCCTGGCTGTCAGGTGTCAGTCTCAGTAATGCTACATTTTCTAAAAAATCTTGAGTAAGTTGTGGTGGCTCTAAGGTAATCTATATTAAGCACAATACTTAATACATAGTAGATGCTTATTAAATTTTGACTCTCTGCACATTCTTTACGAGAATACCCTTACAGGTAGGACACATTTTAGGGAAGGCACTTTTTCCCCCCACTACATGTGCACCATATTTAACTAAATAGGAAAAGCTAAAAAGTCAATCCCAATATTATTCAGTTATACAAAAAGGAGTTATATACAGAGCAGGTATGAGTAGGGGTAAAATTAAGTAGATTAAATGATTGTTTCGGAATAAGCTTGTATACAGTCCATGAAAAAACATTTTTTTACACATTTAGGAGTCTGAGGCTTGCTAACCAGCAATGTAAGAATAGACTAAGTAGGAAAAGTACCCCCCAACATCTTTGTTAAAAATGGGGTGTCCCACAGAGAAACTCTTAACCATTTTTGGCTGTGACAGTCATGGTTTCACATGTTCACAAACTACATGAGAAGGTGGGGTGGGGCACAGCTTGTGGTTGGTGAGTGAGCCTGGTCCACTGCTCAGCATCCCCAACCCAGCCCAGCCTGGCCGTCCTCTGCCCTTCGTCAGGAGCACAGTGCTGCCTCTCAGGAAGGAAGCCGACTTTATCTCCTTTTGGAAAGCGGCTCTTAAGTGAGAGAGAAAACGTGACTGAAAGTTGAGATGTTGGTCAGTTTATGCAGCGAGGATAGTGCTAGAAAAAGTCAGGTCTGTGGAAATATGATGTGAGAGACAACTAGGACTATTGATACATTATGATATTAATAAATTTAAGGTTGTCAGGGCTTCAGGATGGACTCCTCAATAATGTAAAGGGGCCGCAAGAATTAGATGGGGGCAGAATGAGCTCTTTACAGATGACTTTAAATTTAATCCCTCAAGAGAAGGGGGGCAGTCAGTGGGTTGGTAGGATCTCTTAATGAGTGAAGCTCAGATGGGAGCTCGGACAAAATACCAAGAGTAGAGAGATGTAATTAATGATTTTCTTCAGTAGTTCCTATAAAAAGAAATTAGGGTAGCTCACACCCCAGATAATATTTTGAAAAGATAGAGAGAGAGCTTTTTGTGATGGCTTGAACAAGAGTATGACAGAAGGGCTTTTTTTTTTTTTTTCTTTTAAAAGAACATCTGCTCAAATAAAGTCTCACTTCCACCTCCGCTGGCACAGTTTGCAAGTTTATAGTCCCATTTGAATAGAGAAAATGATTAAATTCTGCTGGAAGCAAGGCTGTGTAGTCTACTATTGTGCTTATAGTCTTGCCCTGTGCCTAGCACTGTGCCGGGTATATAACCTGTCCTCAGTAAATGCTCTCTACATGGATGGATGGATGACAGATAGGAACAGGCAGGATTCAGGCGGGAAAGATATAGAATGGAATTTTTATAATTTATTCAGACATGAAGGCCAACATTCCATTTATTTTTCAGAAAATTGACTGAATAGTAGTTTTATACAAAAGATTGGCATATGAATACAGTTGTAAACTCAATTGACAAACTGGACATAAACCAGTCACTATACCTGGGCAATCCCCTTTCTGACCTCAACCCAAGAATTCTGCAGGAATCCCAGGGAATGTTTGTAGGAAGTCTGGCCACAGCTGGACGTCATCGTATCTTGGCCTCTTGGTGCCAGAGATACATTGAGTTCCTGAGGTCAGTCCCAATACCAGAAGGGCATCAGACTAGAAGATCGGTCTCATTCCCATTCTGAGTAAATGGACATGCTTTAAATGAAAAAAAAAAATTTAAACACACACACACACACATACACACACACACATATATATAACCTTTGGGGTAAGAAGCAGTGAAATTTCTGCAAGGAGATACCATGCCTGACCAATGTGGAGAATTCTCTGAGGGGAGAATGCAGTACACACAATTTACTATGGCCAATGGTTCTCCTGGCTGTACATTAGAATCACCTGGAGTGCTTTTGAAAGCCGATGATATCTGTACCCTACTCCATGCTAATTAAAGCAGAATCTCTGGGGTGATTCTTAAGTATAGTCAGAGTGGAAAACTACTGAATTTGATTTGCAAAAAGCTTTTGATAAAATTTCATCGCACAGTCTATGTATTTTTAAAACCAGTCAACATAAGATATGTTTAAAAGCAAGGGCAGAAACAAAGATAGATGATGATTGTATCTCAGAATGGATTGAGGATTAATAATAAGACCAGTTTGTCTGGCAATTTCACAAGACATCCAGGGAATGAACCACAGTGAAGTCATGAAGCTTTATGAGTCCAGTTGGCACTCACTGGGCCCTGTTTACCAGACTCTGTTAGGTGCAGTAGGGAGGGAGCAAGGTGCATGAGACACAGATCCGCTCCTAAGGAGCTTATGGTGCCCTGGCAAGATAAGCCATGAGCATAACTGACTATACCACAGGGTTATAATCATCTATATCAGGGTAGAAAATAACAAAATGCCATCAGAGCATACAAAAGTAGTTCATCCACACCGAATTGAGGGGTAGAAAATAACAAAATGCCATCAGAGCATACAAAGTGATGGGACACATAGGTGACATTAACTTCTTCTAGTAATAAAGTGGTAAGTAAAGTGTGAGGGAAAGGACAAACACAAGAAACCTGTGACATTGAGGAAACAAGAGGATTGACTGGGCATGAGACAAGATAATGCATTTAGCGAAAGGTAGTTCATCCACACCGAATTAAGAACAAGGTAGGCTCTGTAGTGGACCTTGGTCAAGTCCATCAAACCTCTGGCCTCCCTGACTCTTAGGGAGTTATTCTACCTATGTGTGGTCTTGAAAGGAGTGAGCCCCATTTAATATTACTGAAGCCCAAAATGACCAGACTCTCTGCCTATCCCTTGTGGCCCAGGCAGGTCATGCGACCTAGGTTAAGCCCATTGGATGCTCCAAATGTAATGAATGAGACAAATGTAAATGGATGGTGAGAATTCTTCCACAGGACAGCAAGGTGCTGGTAGCATCCTGGTCAAACTATTCCCATTCAAGAGTATGGTGTGACCCTAGGCTTGGTCTTGTCCTTTCCTGATCTTGCAACCTTCTGATGATTCTGTAAACCTCCAGCGTCCTACAAATATATTCTTAAAATGAATATTTCTAATCAAGAATCCTGGTTGATGCTAGTTTCTGGTGATAATTTATTAACCAGAAAAGGGGTCTAGCCAGGGGCTGGTGTTCTGTGTAGCTTGATCCCTCTGACATGGTGCATCATAGGCAAGAAAGTAAAAAAAAAAGAAAAGGGTTAAGAGAATCTTCATGGAGAAGGGGTAGATCACAAAACTGAAAATTAAATCTAACCCATTTTAATAATTGGACAAATGAGCACTCGGAATACACAGTTCTGGCAACTGTAACTGAAGTAAAGTAGAATCGAGAAAGACACCTCAAATAATCAAGATAGCAGAGAGACTTCCCGGTAAGTACAGATGAGGTCCAGCTCAGGCATGGGGTGGATTCACAATGGACAGCCCGTGACACAGCTGCATGGCCAGGAGCACTCATCTTTTGCAAGTTGACACCAAGCAGAAAACTATGCCCTCTCTTATTCTATTTGTTGGTGCCTTGTGGGCCATATAAGTCATGGATCTCATTCATTCAGCAATTCATTCATTCATTCATTCATTCAGCATTATATTTCTTTTTTGGCACCAAGTATCCTAAGATAAACAAGACAGGAGCCCTGTGGAAATGAAGCCAATAGAAGAGACAGTTCTGTAGGTGCCCCCAGCCCCACACTGAGGTGCTGCAGGACCCAATGAGCAACCACTGTTGTGGGAGGTTGGGGATGACCTCATGGAGGAGGGGAGGTTTGTGCTGAGTCTTGAAGCACAATTGCGAGTTTAACAGATAGACAATGGTAGAGGGTTCCAGCAGGCAGAAAAATGAGGCTGACAAAAACTCTGTGTTTGCAAGATATAGGGTTAGGAAGGGCCTCATACGTCAAGGCAGTGGGGAGCCGTTGATATTTTTGCATTAGGGACATTATGATCAGAGTCGATTTGAGAGCAGTCACTCTGGCTGAAGCTTGGAAGATGATTCACTGTGGGCAGAGCTTAGAGGCAGGAGGTCAATAAACACTGTTGTTGTGGTTCTCCTAGTCCCCAGACTATCAGCATCAGCATTACCTGAGAACTTGTCGGAAATCCAAATTCTTGGGCCCTACCCTAGACTTCTGAATCAGAAACTCTGAGGTGGGACCCAGAAATCTGTCTTTTAACAAGCCCTCCAGATGAGTCTGATGCTCACTTAATTTGAGAACCTCTGTGTAGTCCATATAAGATGTGATGGTGGCCACACTGAAATGGTAGACGTGCAAATGAAGTGGGATGGGGCTGATATTGGAAATATGTCCAAGAAGTCGAATGTAAAGGACTTACGATTAGATGGGGTTTGGTGGGTGGGTACTAGGGGAGCGGAAAGGTTCAGAAGCCAGGTTCTGGCATTTGAGTAATGAAACTGCTTCCTCATACAGGTGTCCCTGGTGGGCTTCCTGTTCCTTTTGGGCTTATACATCTCGTCCCTGGCATCCTGTATGGGAGGCCTCTACGCAGCCCCCCGAATTTTGCAGTGCATTGCCCAGGAGAAAGTGATACCCGCACTGGCCTGTCTGGGGCAAGGGGTGAGTAACCCCCTCCTTTATTTTTTATTTTTTGAGGAATGTACATTTTGTTGTGAACCCAATTGTTGGCCAATAAATTGCTTAAGTCTTTCTGATTAGAACCACTGGTCAAGTTCTCCAGAGCAGGGGGAAACAAGAATGCAGAGGTCATTTTTCTCACTCCTGTCCTCTGGCTGCCTTAAGCTGAGGACAGTTGGACAAAGCATCTGTCAATTTCACAGCCACCCAGGACCCAAAGCACTGGTTTAGCTAACTGTCACAACATCTTGGATCCATGTAGCAGGGAAAGGGAGTGCCGCATCCTTTAATAACAATAAATTCAGAGTACTCCAAGTTTAGCATCTCTTGGTGAGGAGAGGTGCTGGTCCTTGTGGCTCTAACTCAAGTTTACCCTTCTTTTGGGGTTGCTTTATAATGAATTCCCACACCTCTTGCCTCTGGGCTCCCTGTTAATCATAGCCCAAACCCTAATCGATATAGTATAGCTTAGTCGAGCCATTGAACAGTCAAATGAGACATTCTTAAAACTGAAGGGATGATGAGAGATAAAAAAAAAAAAACAGAGAGAACCCCACGTCCCAGTAATGTAGTTTGCAAGCTATAGTTCTTTTCTATCTTGTTGTAACACCACAGAGTCCCTCCCTAACCCCCTTCCCATCTCCAGCTTCCCTCTTGGTTAGGGCCATATAGTTGCAAGTCATCCTCCATTCCTCCCTTTATCCTCCTCCACTTCTTATCCATCAGTCAACGTAGGCTGGGTAGGAGCAATGATTACCATCTCTGTATCTTCCATGTGGTATATGTCTTTATTTTATTTTCATTGCAATTATTTTAATTAGGTAATATATGCACAGGGTTCAAAACTAAAAGTGATATAAAGGTATTACACTGAGAAGTTCTGATCCTATCATGAGTCTTTATCTTTTCCCGCCAATACCTATGCCCCATTCATAGCTGTTTGTATTAGTTTTTTTTAATCTTTCTCTCCTCTATTTTTATTCAAAGATGGTATTCTATGTACATTATTCTATACCTTGCTTTTCTTCACTTAGTATAGCTTGGAAATCTATCTTTTCATATAGATATAGAGAGAACGTTCTCATTCTCTTTTCATCACGTGGATATGCATAATTTAACCAGTTCCTTATGGACTGATACTTACGTTGCTTCTAATAAACAGAGCTTCAAAGACTAATCTCTCTCTCTCTCTCTGAGTCTGTATGATTTTGTATATATGCTGATATATCTGTAGGGTACATTTTCATGAGTGGGTTTGCTGAGTCAAACGGTAAATGCATTTTTACTTTTAATAGATGTTGCCAAAACACCTTCCATGGGATTTGTATCATTTTATACTTCTACCAGCAATGTGAGAGTTCTTGTTATTCCACAGCTAGCACTGCTCTTAGACTCAGGCCAGAAGACCCTGCTTTATTGGACTCTACTCTGGTCCTTGGGGTAAGAAGTCCATGAGGCCAAGGGAACATGCCCACTGGGATGCTGTGCTCGTCTTCTAGACTGTGGTCTAGGGATGCTGTACCTTGGAATTCCCTGCCCAGATATCCCCCAGCCCACACCCAGGTCTCTACCCTGGGCCTATCTTCTCTAGGGCCAGGAGTCCACAAGTGGGTGTGAGGTCCCTCACTGTATGGTCTGGGAAAGGAAAAGGGGTAGGCCGTGGGCTGGAGGCTGTGCCTGGCCATACTTCAGTAAGGAACTCTGAAGAGTGTGAGAATTCAAAACCAACTTTCCCCATTGTCCTGAAGGTGTGTTTGCCCAGGAAGGAGTATAGACGCATTTAACAGTTTGTTAGTTTGGTTTATAATTGTAAATATTTAGACATAGGGTGTGTGGACTGTCATTTGCACACTTTTGCCCCAGGCACCACAGCGGCAACTGTGAGCCTGTCAAATGTGAATTTTTGCCCATTGTGTTGGGAGAAATGGCATCTTAGGATACTTGTGATTCATATTACTTCATTATGAATAAAGTTGAACATCTTTTCCTCTGAGTCATTTGTATATTTTTCTGTGATTACTGGTTTTCTTCTCAATTGCTAGCAGCTCCTTCTTTGTTAGAGTGATTAAATATTTGTGATATGTATTACAGATATTTTCTCTAGTTTGTCGCTTGCTTTTTAACTTTGAAAACTTTTCAAAGCGTCTTTACATATGATTAAATTTTATTTGCACTTTTTTAATGGTGAAGAGAAGCAGCTTAAAAAAATTTGTATGTGTATTCAACATACAGAAAAGAGCATAAACCAATATGAACAGTTTAAAAAATGACTATGAAGTGAACATCCTTGTAACTTCCATCCAAGAACACTGCCAGTCCCCAGATGCTGCCCTCCATATGCTCTCTCTGGTCAGAGTCCTGTCTCTCTCACTGTGAAAGCTACTGTCCTTACTTCTGAGATAATATTCCTTACTTTCTTTGTAATTTTACTCAGGAGTTAGCAAACTTTTTCTGAAAAGGGCCAAATAGTAAATACGCAGGCTCTATTTTGTCTGTCACAATGACTCAACTCTGTCACTGTAACTCAAAATTAGCCGTAGGCGATACCTAATGGGATAAGTGTGGCTGTGTTCCAATAAAACTTTATTTATGGACACTGAAATTTGAATTTCATGTAGTTTTCCTGTGTCACAAAATATTATTCTTCTTTTGATTTTTCCCCCCTGCTGTTTAAAAATGTAAAACCATTTCTGCTCTTGGGCATACATAAACAGATGGTGGCCAGATCTGGCCCACAGTTCATAGTTTGCCAGCTCCTGGTTTACTCCCTATGCATTTCTAAACAAAATAGTTTAACTTTGACTGTTTTGTAACTTGATATAAATGTGGCATGCTTCTTTCATTTAACATTATGTTTATGAAATACATTCACCTTTTTGCTCATAGCAGCAGTTTATTATCATCCATATAGATCATGTCCTTATTTGCTACAGTTTATCCATTTTGTTTTTGATAAACACTGGGACCTTTCCAATTTGGGACTATTATAGCCAGTGCAATGAACATTTTTGTACTAGTAGACTGGTGCACATATAGAATTCTTCCAGACTACATGCTCATTAATGCAATTGCTAAATTGTAAGGTATGTGTATCTTCACTTACTATATAACACCAAAATCTTTTCCCAAAGTGTTTGTACTAATTTACACTCCTATTAGCAGTGGACAAATGTTCCCGTTTCTGTATTTTCTTGCTAATACTTAATATTATCAGACTTATTTTTTTGCCAATACGGTGTGTGTTTAATGGTATCTCACGATGGTCTTTTTTTTTTTTTTGCCAATACGGTGCGTGTTTAATGGTATCTCACGATGGGTTTAATTTGCATTTCTCTGATTACTTAATGAGGGTGGACATCTTTAATATGTTTAATGCAAATTATTTTGCTCATTTTTTTTTTTAGTGAGTTTTCTTCTAATTATTTTTTAGAGACTTTTTGAATATTTTGGATTACCTTTTGTCAAGTATATGTTTTGCAAATATCTTTTCCCATTCTGTGACTTGCGTTTTCATTCCTTTATGATATCTTAGAGTGAACAGAAGTTCATGTTTGACTGTTTTGTCTCTTTACAACCCACCCTTATCAAAGTCCTGGTCTGGATCACTAGTCTTTCCTTCAGCATACCTAAGATCTTCCTTTTAAGTTCTTGTTAGTTTCTGATGATTTGCTTTATTCTTAATAGTTTTATTGTTAGAGTATGCTAAACAGAGTAGCTGTGCCAAAATGGTAATTCTAAAAAACAATAAAATGTATTTTTACTCCTTTATTTTACTTTAGTTAGAATTTTTAAGTTCTAGGGAAGGTATTTCAGGTCAATAGTGGCTCTGATCCTCGGGGACTCAGGCTGATGATGATTTTGCCATTTTCATCCTGTGACTTCTAAGGTTGCTCTCTATTCTAAGGTTGCTCTCTAAGGTAGCCCTCAATAGGGGGAACGCACCTGGAGGAGCACATGTGGGAGGTTTACAGGTCAGATCTTGTAATGGCTTATGTGCCCGCCCCTCGCATTCCAGAGTGTGGGTAGTAAAGGAGATGGGAGTAGTAGTTAGATCCTGTGTATATCCTGAGGGTAAATTCTTACAATATTTGCTGATAGAGAATGAGAAAATGAGAAAAAGCATCCAGAATTTTGCTTGACTGAGCAAGTGGAAGGATGGAATTGCCATTTTCCAAGATGAAGAAGACTGCTGAAGGGGTAAATTTGAGGGGTAGGAGATTGTGAGATCAGCAATTTGATTTTGGACGTATCAGTTTTGAGAACCTATTAGATATCAACAAGAAATGTTGAGTAGACAGTTGAACATTTAAGTCTGCATTTCAGGGGAATCTTTCAGGCTGGAGATTCAAATTTGGGAGTTGAGAGCATAAAGCTGTTTTTTTAAAGCCATAGGTGAGCCTAGATGAGGTCACCTAGGAATAAAGTATAGATAGAGAAGAGAAGGGGTCTGAGGATGCCGGGACTGCTTTAAATGTAGATTTCAGAGACAAGAGGAGCAGTCAGCGAGGAGGGAGGTGAATCAAGAGAATATAGATGAAGAAAGTCTTTCAAAGACCAGGGAGTGATTAGCTGGGTCAAATATAGTTCTTAGGTTAAGGAAGGTAAGAACTGAAAAGTGACCATTGACTTTGGCCCAAGGGCTCTGTCAGTGACTGTGATGAGTAGCTTCCGTGCAGTAACAGATTCTATGGGATTAGCACATATTTTCCACTTCTGTCTTCCTGCAGGTCACCATACCCACCCCTATTAATAACAGATGTGTGTAAGTGTGTGTGTGTGAGGACATGCATGTGTGTGTATCTAGTATCAGAATTCCCTCACCTCAGCCACTAATGATTCTACTGTCTTTCAGGGTCTGCCACTCCCCTTAAGATCATTTTCACCACTATAGCCTGGAAGGAACCAACTTTGCACCTTTTTGGTTAAAATCCAATGAAAGACAAAAGGAGAAACACTTGGGAAGTCAAAGTTCTAGTGTAATGCCTGTATTAATAGTTACTAATACAACTAATACCCATGGTGTGTTAGGAACCTATCGCGTGTCAGTGCCCTGTCAAGCATTTTATATGCATTAGCTCTAATCCCACAATAATTCCATGAATTGGATATTATTACCCCAAGTGTGTAGACGAACAGTTACTAACACGCAAAGAGACATGGCAGAAGGGGCTGAGCCATTATGAGCTGACATTTCATAGTCCTGCATGTTATTTTTGTTTCTGCAGAAAGGGCCAAATAAAACACCTGTAGCTGCCATCTGTCTGACCAGCTTGGTGACCATGGCCTTTGTCCTTGTGGGTCAGGTGAACATTCTGGCCCCCATCGTCACCATCAACTTCATGCTGACATACATCGCAGTGGATTACTCTTACTTCTCCTTGACCATGGGTCCCTGCAGCCACCCCCAGGTGTCTGAATCAGTGTACAGAGAGGGCAGGGGAGCTCTCCACTGCTCTGAGCACCTGCTCTTGGAGAAGGCTCCCAGCTATGGTTCTGAGGGCACTGCCCGAAGCCCCTCCGAGGGCACTCTGCTAGAATTCACCAAAGACATGGATCAGCTCCTCCAGCTAACCAGGAAGCTTGAGAGTAGCCAGCCCAGGCAAAGGGAGAGTGACGGGATCCAAGAGAGTCAGGAGAAATTCAAGAAGGCCACCAAGCAAACCCTACAAGACAGCTTCCTCTTGGACGTCAAGTCCCCTGCTCCCTTCCCTACTGAAGGGCCTGACAGATTGCAGGAGTCCTCTTGGAACAAACAGTGTATCAAGAGTGAAGGGGCCTGGCCTGGGGGAGCATGTGGAGAACAACCTGTCCCTGAGCTAAGTAACCAGTCCAGGTCAAGTAAAGAAGGTGAGTACTTTGAAATCATACTGGGGCCTCCTAATTGGGGTGAATACTAGTTTCCTCACCTACCCAGTTATCAAAACCCTCTTTCAAGTCCTTAGCCAGTTGACTTTATAGCTGGTTTTAAAATTCTCATTAATTTTTTGTTTGACGTTTATTTTAAAATTTATATCCAGATATCAGTTGAATTTGTAATTCTACACTGTTATAGATAGTTGATTTTAAACAGAAATTTCTGTCTACTCCTGTATGTGGGAGCCATGGCTAATAATTGATTATTAATTTCATTTTACTTAAAAATCAGCAGAAGTATAATGCCAAAAGAATGAAAACAATTTCTATTTTTAAGAGAAGTGGAAATGTGTTGTGACAAACTGCCTGACAAGAAATCACTATGTTTTGTT